CAGTCAGAGCAGAAAACAGTTCTCAGTTGGAACTAAACACTACGCAAAATATATATATTTCCGCTCAAACTATTTTGCTAAACCCTTTTTTTGTAAGAGAAATATAAAAATAAAATAAATAAATAAAATAAGCCTTTATTGCTGTAGTTACAATAAACAAAAATAACAGTTGTAACAGAGTTAAGAAATAAACAAACTTAAAAAGTACTCTAACATTATCTCAGCAATCGGTTTCTCTCCTCTTACAACAGCTTGTCTTTCGACAAAGGCCTAAGAGAAATATAGATTACTTCAAAAATCTTGAAAACTTCACCAAAATCTGATTCTAGCGGCTAGCAACGTCCAAACAAAAACAAACCCTCCACCTTTCACATCAAAACGCATTGTCATTTAAACCTACACAAACATAACTTCATATATCTACACAGCCTAGATAAACTCAGAACATTAACATTACAGATTTATGCAGTATACCCATTTAGTTCTACAGCTTTCGTCCGTCGTGGTCGCCTTCGGCTATAGTCGACTTTATGATCGAGAACTGATGTAAATAACGCACCGAGATAATGCCTATCCTCTTTATAGTCCAATGCGTGTCTAGACTCGATTTCTTATAGGTTGTAATAGTGATGGCTATTTTATTGACATTTATATACGAATTTTAGAGTGTGTTAAAGTTCCAGTCAAATAGGTAGTTGACTGAGACAATGGGTTTGGAAATGTAAAGACTGCTTTAGATATCGAGTGAAATAATAGATGAAACTACGGACGATTGGTATGCCACCTAGCCACCGTACCTATATTGGCATTAGACCTCTTGACAGATTGAAAGTAAACATTTTAATAATTAATTTGTAAACATTTTAAAAACACTTAAAGCCCTCTATTGTTGAAGTCGGTTAATTGATACACTAAAACCTTCTCTTAAACATAACATCACGCCTTTTATCCCCGAAGGGATAGGCAGAGGTGTACATTACGGCACTTAATGCCACTATACAATATAACACCCAGGTAATAAACACTTTTTCTAAAATTCGCATCAAAATCGGTTTAGTCAATCGCAAGATAGCACAAACATACATATTATGTAGGCCAAACTGAGAACCTCCTATTTTAGAATTTATTTTATTTTTTTTATTTTCAGCCATGATCGTCCCACTGCAGGGCAAAGGCCTCCCTACCCTCCTTCCACTCCTCTCTATGTAAAGCTTTTTGCGGCCAATCCAATCCAATCCTATTTTAGAAGTTGATTAAAAATCAATACAATTCTACAAGTTAAGAATCACAATAACAATACTTTCAGCCACTGATTGCGAGCAGCGGTCGAATTAATTTTGGTCCTAATTAGTAACAAATAATAATAAGTAAAGCGCATATCTTTTAATAAGGTAAACATTTTTGATAACAAAAGTATCTATCAATATTCAATTTAATACTTTCTATCTAAACTCCACCTTACCCTACCACTATCTTCACAAAATAAACCAGACACGACCTACAAATTATCAAGATTAACACAGGCATAATTAATACGATTCTCCAGCACACACTAGTTAACAATATTAATAAGTATCCTACAAATAGAGGCGATAAGCTCGTAAATATATCGAACTTTCTCGACTTCAAGTCCAATGACATTATATAGTGTGAATTATATTTGCGTTGGAATATCTTACGCTGTTTATTGGTATGAGAAAATGTTAGGTTGGACCTAGGAAAGTTGGTCGTCTGGGTCTGTGGTTGTCAACATGAGGTCTGTTATCTATAATTTTCCTACTTGTATTTTTTTGTCTTGACAAGTATCACGTCGTCTTATCTTAAGTTATTTGAAGTCAAAGAAGTCCGTCTATCATTTTTCTAGTATATATTTAGTAGCAAATTTTTTTAAAGAATTATAACCTATAGACGTTTGCTACAGCAATAGTTGCTTTGCTGACCCTGTAAAAACTTAGGGTTCTCTAAAAATGGAGCAAATATTTTTGTACGTATTTTACAATTCTATTATAATATTCTATTGAATATTCTTGAATACATAATTATATTAAATTGAGCTTTAGTTCTTTATATTTTACAATCTAAAAGTCCTTACTTCCTAAAAGGTTGCTAACATCTGATTTAAAGTACCTAGGTAAGGTACTTGACTTTAATAAGGTGTCTCGATATAGATTAAAAACGCAGTTATACCTAATGCGTAAATCGTAAATTCAATTTCGAAATAGGTTAGGTTTGTTTAGTACCTGCCTGCCAGTTGTTCTCTATGAATGGTTATGATATTTAAATTTTATGTTTTGTGCACTGTTCTGTATGAATTTGTTTTGATATTAACCTACTTCGAAATCGAACTGTCGAAAGAATAATGAAATGACTGAAATAAATGACCTAAAACCTTTGTCAGAGATCCATTCTAGTGCTTAGTTATTAAACTCTAGTTTACTAAAGGTGTGTAGGTAAGTAGCTACATATCATTATCATATTCGATTAAAGTAACACCTAGGACCACGCCCACCCCGTTGCGAAAATCCACAGTAACTGCCCAGTCTCAGTAGCACCGGTTATGGTGACTTGCATCGCAACATTGTACATCTCTTTGATTGAATAATACCGCCCAACATGGACATTAAGAAAGTTATTGAACATGTTCTTATGAGATGAAATATGTTGATGACACACCCTGTTTGGCTATTGATTTTGGTACCTGTGTAACAGGTGTTAAAAGATTGTTGACTTTAATACCAGTGGGACTGAGTTCAAAGTCATTTGGAAAGTAATTAAATAGCGAAATAGGAATCTTTGAATCTTCAATTCATATACTAAACGGCACAAAGTACATTTAGATAATTGCAATTTAAAAAGTTACTTACCAGGTGGACAATCGCACTCGTATCTCAACTGGTCCAGCGGCGTACATCTTCCATCATGATGACATGGTGACGGCTCACATGGCACATACTCTGCATCACAATCTCTGCCAGTATACCCAGGCTCGCACACACACGTGTACGACCCATGGGTATTAAAGCAGCGTCCATGATGACAAGGACCTGAGCCACTTGAACATTCCACCACATCTTCAGTACAACGGGAGCCGGTGAAGCCAGGAGGACAGGCGCAGGAGTAACCAGCAGCAGTGCTGTTGTCTGCTACACATCTTCCTCCATTGCGACAGGGCTGAGATGCGCAGTGGTCTTCGTGGGAGCACTCATCACCTGAGAAAGAGATTCGTTCATTAGAAACATTAAATAAAGTACGAAAAAGATTAAACTATCTAATAAATGAGTCTGTCACTTTAGAACCTAATGAAAAAGCCATAATTATTGCTTAACGTCCTAAAACGTCAATTTACAATAAAAATCCTAACAAATTTTAATAGATTATGCAAAGTATGAAGTTAATAACTCATCTCCAAGGTCAAAAGACATTGCTCTGTCGGACGAGATGACTGAACTAATAAAACAGGCAAAGAATATATCACCAATAAACACCCATAAACCAATCAATGTAGAAAATCTACCAAAAATCCATAATTAGAATTACCTAATCAAAAACATCGAAGACGATGAATCGGTAAAAATCGCTAAAAAGAAATTAGCATTTAAACGACCAGATGAGCAGATATTAATTGTATCGATTATTGCGATTTTTATATCAATCAATAAGTCATAATCGATTGTTAATCGAATAATTTGTGTGGTTGATGATTCGGATAGAATTTGGGGACTTGACATCGTTTTACAATTGAATATTTCTTGTTTAATGACTGTATTTGCATAGGAATTAGTGATAACTATGAGAATGGCTGGAGAAAGTATGGCTTACATTGATAAAGGGGTCACGATTAATAAAGTTTGGAAATAACATAATCGGGAACTTAATTGAAAACATTTTGCTCATTCAGCTTAAGATACCGTTAAGCCCTTTTATAGATGAGCAGGTCGATGTGTGTTATGGTCAGTCATTTGCATTTATAGTCAGTTATTTGTTCCATAAAGAGAATGGGCATTTAACATACAAATAGAAGAAGATACATAGATACTACAGATCAAGAGCATTTTAAACTGTCAAATACCAAGCGGTCACCGGTGACCGCAACCTATTGTTCTTTAATTGTGTCTGCAAAACCGGTACTCGACGAGTTAACAAACAGAATTGCAATTCCCAAAAATGACCTCACTAAATTCATCATCTAATAAGAATGCTAGGCTGGCTGACTAATGGAATAAACGAAAGAATTCGGTTTGATTGGTGGAACGAGCTTAATTGGTGTTGTGGCCATCACTTCGATCTATATGGAAGCTTAGAAAACAAAATTGTTAACTACTGATACGATAGTCACTACAGACACCGGGATAAAGTAAAACAATATTGATTTTGAAACAGATCTCAAAAAGTTTGGAAGTTAGGTAATTATTGAAATGATATTTTTATTAACTGATAAATCACCTATATATGAATTATAAAAACAAGTATATAAATAAATATACACAACTTAAAATAAACTAGAACTAATAGAGAAAATAAAATAAAAGGAAACGAAAATGGAAAAACCAAGATGGTCTCTGTAAGTAGCTATTTACAGAGACCATCAAAAAATTTGTCCACATCGACGTCAATAGAGAAATTAATATATATTTTCATTACTGGTCCTTTTGGAACACCTAATAATTGTCCAAAAATAGAAGATACGTGCGATTCCATTACTGTCAAGCTTTGTTTTTGTAAGTTCATAGAATTACTGAATAAATCTTCGCAATCATAACAGTAATCTGTCAGACAAAAGACAATATAAAGCGTGTTACATCCCACCAGAATTTGCAATCACGATTTTAGAATTAGCGGACGCCACTAGCATTAGAGTACTGCAAAAAATAGAAAATAAAAAGTAAATTAGATATAATGAAACAACTAGCATTGCATGTCGCCGGCAACCAATTACAGTAGCGCTACCTACTTTTGAAACCACCGGCAAATCTAATCAGAAACAATCTTCAATTAAACGAATAAAACTTTTAACAGATTATATGGAAAATTACATATTACAAGTGCCTGAATCACACGGGAGTTGGTGAAAGCCATAGAAAGTCAGCAATTTGTCATTTCCTGAACTACCAAGGCGTAATACTTTTTGAATATAAGCTAAAGGTATGTACCGTCCGCGTCTTAAATGCGTTGTGTGAACGCGACCAATTTGATCTTCAATTGTTTATGCATCTAATGAATTACCCGCTTTACCGTTTCTTTTTTCGTCGGCAATTGAACTGTGATGTTTTTTTGGAATTCCGGATTTGGAATTTTAATTTGTATTTGCTTTTGGAAGTGCTGTTTTATTGCGATTGTATCGATCGACTTTAATGTTTCTTTTTACACTTTGAACGCTAACATATTTTTTTTACCGTTAACTATTGTCATATTGTCTTAAGTTGTCATAGATATGTGTTTAGTATAAAAAAAAGGTTCTACAGTACACAAAACTGGAAACTACAAGGCCATAGATTTTTTGCAATAACTAGGCAATTTGGTCCTAAAAACTTAACTTAAGCCATATTCTAAATCACTAGTCCCATTTATACAAAAATATTGAGCTTCTAAGCGTCTGTGCGCGCCATAATTGCTCACCGTAGATGGCTGGCTGCGCCTGTGCCCGCGAAGATTTTTTTGCAAAAATTCCTTTCTTATGGTAGCAACTAGCTACATGCCCCTGTTAACCGGTCTATGTGACGTAATTTAAACTTTTTATATTATGAAGGTTTTATAAGATTTAACTAAGTTGTAATTTAATATAATTACATAAATATTTTCAATTTAAAATTAACTAAAAAAAAACTACAACTAAACCGATGAATAAAAAGAATTAAAAAAACTCCAAACGGCTCAAAATAGTGGTTACAGCAGGTTAAATATTATTTTTAGAAGTTACATTTTATCTTTCATATCTCTCTCATTTTCTCATATCTCTCGTATTTTAACATCATTATGGATTCAATCACCAATAAACTTTTGAACTAAAATTAAAAAAAACACGCCTTTTATCCTCGAAGGGGTAGGCAGAGGTGCACATTATACCACTGTACAATGTAAGACCCACTTTTCACTATTTATGTTATGAGTCCCATGTAATAGGGGGTGAGCCTATTGCCATATACCGGGCACAGTTCCAGACTCCGTGCTACTACTGAGAATTTTTAAAACCCCAATAATACTTTGCCCGACCCGGGAATCGAACCCGAGACCCTTTACCCGGCAGTCGCAATTGCGACCACTCGGCCAACGAGGCAGTCAATTTAAAGAAAACTAACACTTTATGGCAGTTTGAAACATACTAAGGACCACAATATATGACTATACTTTAATTACAATCCGTCACAGTGTGTATAAATATTCTATTTATTTACGACCAACGCCCGTTAAAATCATAAAAGGTTCAGTATTAGAGATTAAATATTTACACAGATTTAATAAAGAATAACAGTATCTTTATATTCCAGATTTACATATTATAATATTAATGTATTTTTAAGTAATAATATTTTATTAATTTATACCTATGTGATGTTTATTCAAACCGTCAAGCCAATTAAGAATTAAATGTTTCGACATTAATCCGTTTATAATGTGATGATGAATGATGAAATTATTAGAAATTAGACATTCATGAAATTTCAATTGTACCGAAAGACCAAATTGCCTAGTCTTTAATAACAGTTTTATTTTAGGTTATTCCTATTTTCATAAAGGAAAAACCTGAACACTGTATAAACACTACATTAGTATCTACATTTTAGAAAAAAATGCAAGTCCATATCATAATTAAGGTGTAAAACGACAATGCAGGGACACGGACACGTATACCATTAAAGCAATTATGGTCCTTCATGACAAAACACATGCAATTACAAGAAAAAAATAAAAGACCGTCTGTTGTATCAAAAATATTGTGTGACGAACTAAAAATAAACGTCAATTAACCATGACATCATTAAAACAATTCATGATATTTTTATGACCATAAACTTTATGGTACATAATGACAATTTAACAGATATAATACCTAATATACGCCTTAGCATAAACATTGAAAGGATACAGATTATGGTGAAATGTAATAAATATCTTAAGGATAAAGATATCCTACAAACAACTAATGAAGAACCTTTGAATGAAAGCCGTAAAGAAATGGGACATTGTGCTCGTGCGATGAGCGAAACCAATTGTAAAATCAATTCTGCCTCACGAACGAAATCAAGGATGAGCTTTAAAGCAAAAATAACAGAAAATACCGATTGTAATCTTGAAATGAATATGAAGCTTTGCAATAACATTAATGAAGATAATATCGCAGAAGCATAAAATATGAAAGACAAAATACCTACCAGCAATTGAATTGCTAAACGCAATCAAATCTATGAATAATGAACTAAGACTGTACGCACTAAATTAGATTTAACAGCAGCAATTATTATAGAGCATTTGAAAGGAAACGGCTGTAGCAACTTTCCAAAATTTACCAGTTACTCCTTCCCAAACTTACGACATTTATAGTTCACTAAATCATTTTGATAACATAATATTCCAAAACAAGTTTTGCTTGAGGCTCCGACTGAACGAATTTCGCTTTTAGTTGTCCATCTTTTATACTCTTAATTTATTTTATGCCAACTGTGATATAAAAATCTCCAACGTTTTCGATGACGGATTTATTTGGACTTTTATTAGTAACGTTTACGTTTCCAAGTGTATTAAATCTTACCATATTTTGATTGTGATTTAAGGGGCCTCGAGTTTTATATGCTACGTTGTCTTTCTGATCTTTATTGGATTTTCATGATTTATTAATCCCAATTTTATTAATAACATTCCTTAATTGGATACTATATAGACTTTTTAATGGCAATGTTTTTCATATCTAACAGTTTATTCTTATTGTAATATGGTCATTCGGCATTCCTTTAATCGTTGTATATAAATTGTCCTACGATGTTAATAATAAATGCGAATGAACGCAGAACATTGGTAGTTATAACAATAGCCATAAAAGGTGCAGGATATGCACTATAAATGTTTTCTTAGGCGAAGCCAATTAATTATAATTAAATCAATGTTCTATACTACAATAGGTACCGTCCTATCTTGAACCACACACCTGTTTATTAATCATCAAATACATAACCAATTACGCATGGAATATAAGTGATACAGACGGACAGAGAGACTATTAACTCAGTACCGATTATCTTTAAGATCTAACGAAGATGCTAAGATGCTTGTGTATAAAAGTGAATTAAAATAATTAAATGTACATCTGTGGTTAAAGACTATGAAAAGGCTTAGAATAAACCCGTTGTATTTATAGAAATTCGACATTCTTCTAGTCTAATGAAATAATTGGAAGGGTTGCTAATATGACATGTGAGCAATAAATGCCTCCGGCGTTATTGATATTTATAAGTTACGGTATCTTCTTTAGATCAAGGGTGCCTTAATGATAGGCGGGCAATCACATGACATGCAAAATGGGATCACAAGCGAGGTATTACGGCCCTACTATAACGAAAAAGTAAATTACTTCTACAGCCTAAAGTAAGTAAAATCTAATAATTAAGGACTATTAATAGACCTTTATAGTCAACCTAACCGAAGAACAATACTGACAAAATAATTAGTGACCTTAATTGTCTACTAACATAGCACATTAAAGCTACATATTTTTTAAATAATGAAAGACTCACCTGTATACCCTGGCGGGCAATCACATTCATACGTGTCCAATGACGTCAGACGACACGTGGCTCCATTCAAACATGGCGCTGAATCACAGGCAGCTGGTATCCTAATCTCACACAGTGAGGCACTGAAGCCCAGAGGACAATCGCAAGCGAAGGACGGTGGCCCTCCACTGACTCCTGGTCTGACGCGACATGACCCTCCATTCTGACATCGAGGACTGGACTCACTGTGGCAAGGGTTCAGATGCTGGCAGAACTCGCCTGCATATCGGGATGTACAGCTGGAACAAAGAAAAGGAAATTGTTAATGATATGGTAAAAAGTAGAAGCAAAGAAACTAAACATTTTGATATAAAAAAATCATTTTCACATGAATTAAAATTATAATTCCAATAAAACTTGGAATCAAAATCACAAAAAGTAGATTGTAGAACAATAAATTTTCCCTTGTCCTTAACCTTAAAATATTGCAAAACTTTTCCCAGATCAGAACTAAAACTAGGATAAAAAATAAAAGGAAGACAGTTCCTCAGCCGCCTAACAATCTCAAATCATACCATACACTGTTCTAAGTGAATAATGAGCCATTTTAAGAGCTACACTGCATGTTCCTACATCGGAGTAATTTTACAATCCTTTGAGCTCATTGGTTACGTGTCTACCTCACCTATTGTGCTTCTGTCCTGATTCATACATCTTGTCTTTTCTTTTGACTTCAAAACTTAACAGGACATATGTAAATGTTAATTTAAAACTACTCTATTTAAATCATTGGCTGTACACGGTAGGAGGTCTTTATAGTAGCTACGATTTTATGAGCTGTAGTTTGCTTTCAAATTAATTTATGAGATGTTTTTTATAGATTACTTGTTTAGTATGTATTGTGTGTCATTAGGATTAATGTGGTATTCTAAATTGAGATTTGCATGCGTCTTAATTTTGTCACAAATCCAATAGGCAATTGAAAAAAATATATAAGTCTTGTCATACATGTCTCTGCACAGTTTATGAGAAATACACAAGTAGTGAGCTCAAAGCCTATAACGTTTAAAATCTTTGCACCAAATACAACCTAAATAATACCAGTTGTATTCAAAACTAGACCAAAGACCCAATTATAAAAGCAATTAGGTCCACAATTAAACAACAAACATTAAATGACCAACACATTAACACTCGATGTCTCCACATTTACAAACATAACAGTCATTCTCGTGAAAATTATAAATTCCAACAAAGTGTCAACAAAACACGATCTTATTATAATAAACCCAAAGTCGAAGCTTCCGTGTGACAGGTTTCTGTGATAATATTAATTAAAATTAAGATTGACGGCCGGTATCAGATTGCAGACTGAATATTGATCGGTATAAAAATTCACTTTTTGTAACAAAACGAGATTGGTAGGACCTTGGTATTAATTAAAAGAATTAACAATTCAATTTTGTGTATATTCTTGCGCCAGAATAAATCAAAATATTTATGTAACTAGTTGTGAAGGTGAATTTATCGGTGTTTAGTTGTTGTCTGTTTTCTGTGGGATTCGGAAATTTTAAAATGTAGCAGAAATCAAACGTATTGAACAGTTAAGGGATGAGCAAGTGCTTATACTAAAGGGGCAACGATATCAGTGATTGTGTTGTATTCTTTTCATATATAAGTTATTGTATAAGTTATTATTGTATAAGTTAATTTTCAAAACGATGATATAGATATAAATGCCATAAAACTCCTCATAGAAACCTGTTTTCCTTTAAACCCTACACCGAATTCAAAACCAAAACACATATAAATTAGCTAAACAAATAAATACAAAACCCTGAAGAGATAACCTGACATAACATATTCTAAACATAAGGCTTATAACATACTGTAGGTGACGGTACGTAGGTGTAGTGTACACTGTACGAGTACGGTCGTGCAGCCCCGGCCGGACGTCGACAATAAATAACGCAGATACGTCGCGAACACGATCACGTGACGTGCGCACGCGCAACCTTCGCCTTTGCATCGCTATTATAGTGCGTTTTTTGAGTTCAAATATTGGATGCATATTTTCGAGAAATGTGTTATTAGTATGACAATGATAATTCTAACTTGATTAATTATTAAAAGATTAGGCAGAAGTTAACACTGCTTTTATCTGCTTACCACTGCTCATTATTGTCCTTTGATCTTAATTACAAAGTTCAAACAAATCAAACCTTTTTATGAAAATGTGAACCAAATCAGATCAGAAAAATGTACAAAAAAAATATTTTAGATACAGCCTTAAATAGAAATGCAAACTCTAAGTTCTATAATGACGATGTTTTTGCTAACCGCCATAGGTAATGTAAGGTAATCACGAGTCGCTTCATCGTCAAAGAACACCATTAAGTAATCAATTTCCCTCAGTTTATCTACTACACCTTGCAAGATGGCTGTATGAGACTTTCTATGTTGCTATTAGAATATTCTCAAGGAGAATCATTAGCTTAAACTGTATACAGGATTGTTGGAACTAAATTGAATTAATTTTGAATCTTTATATAAAAACCTCTATTAATTCTGATGGTTTTTTACGTAAGTTCACCAAACATAGTCTTAATGAAAGATTAACCTTATGGGAAGATATTGGCACATTCAAAAAATATAATAATTAATTTAATATGTCTCACGAAAGTTAAAATATAAACAGAAAAATGTGAGAAAATAGACAATATTGATGTAGAATAACAAAATAGCCATGTCGCGGAGAACCTAACGGGTAACCGGGGCTCCGGCTCGACGTGCTGGAGAAGGAACGGGGTGGTTTTTAGTGAGTAAGAGTCTGACACTCCCTCCCGCCTCACCCAGGCGGGAGCAGTCATTCGATGATCTTCCCCCCTTAAAAAAAAAAACCATTACTAAAATGAGAACCATAAAATTCTTGACACAATGCAACCAATACACGAAGTCAGTGCACTCAATATGTTTCAAGATAAAGCTTAAACGCCCACATGAGGAGGAAATCTTTTCTTACCAGCAAAAGAAGCATTATCATAATCTCACAATAAATAACATTAACATGAAATCCGAATAGCGTAACCAAGAATAAAATAAATCATTGACAATACTCTTGATTTACGAACGTCAGACATTTCTGTAAAAGTTGCATTGATGGAAGTACGACGATGTTGAAAGTAAAATATGCCATATTGTTTTTAAATGAGGACTCAATATTAAACATACGTGGACATCAAATATGTCTTCGTAAAAGTAAGAAACAAGAAGATTGGGTAACAAAAAGGATATCACAGAGAATTTTATTATTCATCCAAGTCATGGTCCTAGAGATCACAAGACTAATAACACAAAATTGTTAAATAAATACTGCTAGCGTGTGGTAATATTAATTCAAAGGATACAACACCCACAGCCCTTTTATTACATTAGTTTTAGATAACATTAGCTGTCTCGATCCAAATGCACCCACCCACGAAATTATGCTAATGTACTAAACGAAGTAAATCTCATTTATTGGACCATTCTGTACTGGCACTTAAAGTGTTACTGGGAAATAACCCGTCCACAAACTATTCATACAAATTGAACATCGTAAAACTCATATTGCCTATTTGATTACATTCGTTTTAAATGGTTTGTGTATTTAATATTATCTACAATATCTGTTACAATTATAACCTCCCAATCTATAGGTTATAAACCTCGTAAAATGAGCATAGATGTAACATTATTCATTTTTTCTTTAATTAAGAATATTAATGTTTTATTACTTGATAATAAACAAAATTTGATAAATGGGAAATACTTTTATAACGAACGATGAGGATGTTTTGTTGGATCAAAACAAAATAATAGATTCTAGCTTCAAAACCAACAGCATTTAAATATACAAAGTCGAAAGCATTTACTTTTGCTACAGCAAAATGTTTTGGATCTAAACAATGGATTCCACCAAACACAAATGGCTTTATCGTGATTTTGTTAGGTTGGTGTATTAAACCTGAGGTGAGCCTGTATGCTCGCGTGGGAGGACGGGCCTGTGCCTGGCTACCCACGCGCTGACCTCGCCAGAGGGTGCATGCACTGGACCCACTACTACGATGATGTTATTGCCAACGCTCGGAGAAGCTACAGAATATTTTACCTCGTGCATTCCTCTCGCAAAAGCAAAGACCTGACCATCAAAATTATTATTTCCATATTCAAACGATTCCACGTATTTTTAAACAAAAACAGCGGCGTTTTTAGCAAATTAAAAATGATATCTCGAGGATCATTGACAGACCTCGTTAGCTAAACAAGCAAGAATATTTTTATTACAGACTAGGTTGTAAAATGTTCGCGATAAAGAGAATAATATGACGACACCCGAGGAAGCTTCTCATCGCTTTTAATAACGAGATCACTGAACAATAAGAACACTAGATGACGCTGGCCAACGCTCCAAAGATTATCTCTAAAATTATAACCTGTCTTTGAAAATAGGGCTTTTGTTCAGCTAACAAGACTAGGAGCTAAATCTTCATTATAGGGCGAACAATAAATTTATATTATCGCTGATCTAATTACGGAGGTGAGTGAAAAAGAGGAACCAATGTGCCGACACGGTATCATCGAGTTTTATGTGCAATTTTAAGCTGGTTGGGTCCTCCCATCGTTTGTGGTATTTTATGATTTGTTATGAGAGTCATGTCATCGTTAGTTTACCACTTTTTTATCGTATTCTGGTTATGTTTATTCTTAATAATTAGTCACATCAACTAGATAACACTTTCCCTTAGGATATTTTGCAGTATAGCCATATTTTACCTAGGTTCAACGTTTGGTCCTAATTGGTCCTTCGACACTGAAGACCGAAGGACCACATTTGTGTCAACATAGAGCGAGTTGGAAAGCCACAAGAGCAAGGTTGTGCGACCATAATTTATAGCCGACGACAGGAGATCTTGTGTCGCAGGCAGCGCCCGTAATAAATATATAGTTGCGTGCTTGTTCTATGTTATATGATACGGCGAGCTTGCTGAACTTTTAAAGGACACCATTAGGTGCTGAACAAATTGAAAGAAAAAGAAGAACCTAGATATGTAGACGAAAGAGCTTGATCTTTTTTGTAATTGGGAATATTACATTACATTACACAACAAATGATAATAGTTATACAACTTTATAATTGAGAATATTAACATTACTATCATCATCATCGTCAGTGTCATTCCTTGAGAATTAATAGGCCTGTCTACTTTATAAATTTGGTCCTCATTTTAAACTAGAAATGTTGAAACGAGACCGTCTA